AAGCGTATTTCGACGAAGTTTTATGTGTAGATTCAGAAAATCATGGTCAGAAGCGCTCGCTGTGGGCAGAACAACACGAAAAGTGGTCTCGAAGCATCAAGTTTCGCCCCGGGTGAGAGATCAAAGAGAAAAAAAAACTACAGTACCTGATTTCCAGCGACATTGACCGATGCCTCCAAATATTGGAGCGCTTCCTGGAGCAGCAATTCGCCAGTTGACGTACCAGATCGCCAGCCGATCACCTAAAATCACCTAATTCAATTTATTAAAAATCAATAAAATATTTCAAGTGCAAAACACAAAGAACATAAATTTAAACAATTTAATAGCTTTTTAAATCGAATTTGAAAGAAGCTTACATCTCCTCCGTTAGCGAGAATCCGCTGCGTCAGCCAGAGACAATCATCGGCCAGTTGGCTTCTCGGCACTCCGTTTCGATACTTTGACAGCAGAAGGGAGGCCACGATCGAGACAGCCGATGTCGAGCAAATGTCTTCGGCTTCTGAAAAACTGGCTAAATTCAATACAAAAAAAAATTTAATATATTTTTATACATAAAAATACGAAAAAATCGAAAATTTTAATGCAAAAAAATCTCTGAAATGAAAAAGCCTAACATTTTCTTTTCATTTAAATTCAGTTGAATTTAATATAATTTAGGATACAAACATTACTAAATAAAACCATTTTCGATATTTTAAAGTCGCTAAACAATCAACCGTTCCAAATACGCCTATTGACGCTTACCGTACACCACGTGGAAGCCGATGGAGCGGATGAGGGCCCGGTTGTATTCGGCTGATGATTGGGAAGACGTCCAGGGGACCAGTTCACTAAAATATACATAGCGTAATCGATTACGGCATTAAATTGCGAACCGATAAGAGTAGCTCTGCGGAAGACGGGTGAGCTGTTTCGGAGGGTGGGCCGAGCGAATGGCTGAACAATCGGCGAGAGAACGGAGGTAGTCCTGAAAATCGTCAAAATTAGCGAGCTGTCACTGCGCCTTTAAAGTTTAAACTTAAAAAATAAAACTCACCGATAGCAACACCGGCTTGCCGTAGTGCATCCTGACGGCCCCGCAGCGCTGCGACACGCCAAAGCCCTTCCAGATGGCTGAAAATCGACGTAAAATTAAACTAAAATAATAAAAATCAGAAACAGCTTTCTTGCTAAAAATCGCGTACCTCTAAAGACGCCAAAAATGCTCTCGCGCTGCTTGGTGTTGCCCATCAGCTCGTTGAGGAACACGCCTTCGGGTACCTGAATTCGTGGGATAGAAGAGAGAGCGAGGAGAGAGAGAGAGAGAGAGAGAGAGAGAGAGAGAGAGAGAGAGAGATAGAGAATACCTGATCGTAGGAGTACGAGACGGGGACCAGGTAGACGTCTTGCAGCGTACCTGAAATGATGATAATACAGTAATTTTAATGAGACCGACAAGGCAAGACTGCCTTAGATCCTAAAGGATCTCTGCTAGATTGCCCCTTTTAAAGGACTTGTGAAGATGACCATGGATTCTGATGCGCCTAGCTACGCAACGCGCGCAATATTTCGTCGCTAAATTCACATCAAAACGTTTCGTGTCGCGTACGCGTCAAAACCCCTAGTCGTCTTCCAATCTCTTTAAAAACGGGCAAATTCAGAATTAATGTTCCTCAAAAATCGCATATTTACAGTACCCCTCTGGACGGCCTCCACGACATTCGAGATGAGACCATTCTTCGGGAGCAGCGCCTTTCCGAATCGATTCCTCGTCCCCTCGAGGAAGAATTCGATCGCCAGTTTCTTGCCCAACACGTCTTCGATGTAAGCACGAAGGATATATCTAAAAACATAAAGATACAGAATACATAAAATCCAGGAATACCTGTAAATATCATCCTTTCCACTCGCGTCATTATCATCGAGACGTCGTCGAATGAAGAAGGCACCCGTCGAGCGGAGAAGCCAACTGCAAAAAAAATGGATAAAGGGGTCGTGGCAGGGAGCAAGCTATGGCTCAGTATAACCATAAATGTGATTTTCATTTTATCGAAAATCCGAATGTCGAAATTAATTTTGCCAAAATCATAATTTTTCAAAATCAAACGGAGGTTTCGATATTTTCGAGAAACTATATTTCGTCGGATTTACGAAATTCCTATTCTCGGCATTTTGATTTTCGACAAGTGAATTTCATGATTTTTAATTTTCGTATATTGCAACTTCGACAAAAGGGCTGTTCGGTAGCGTAATTTTCGAGATTCTAGTTTCTGGCATTGGGAAAATTTTTTATACGCATGGAATTCCGACACGTTGTCAGCAAATATAAGAATTGAACTCACCCGAATCCGCTGAGATTCAGATTGTCGCCAGAGGCAATATGTGGCAGCTGCAAGCCCCAATGCCACGAATTCCACGTGATCATGAGGTAGTCGAGGTGGGAACGGTGGAGGGGCAAGTAGACGAGGGGAATGCCAGTCTGAAAAAAGAGGCTCGAAAAGTTCGGAAGAGTATATTTATCCGATTACGCCATATAATTACACTAGCTAAATCCGAAGCAATTACGCTCTCGAATTACGGTAGCCAAAGACAAGTAGTTTTTTTTACCACTACCTTTTCCGCATCCTGCAATTCCTTCATCTGTGCCGGGTTGACGAGCAGTCGTGTCATCAGACGTCGGAAAATCTAGAAACTTGTAAGTGTCACTCTCCCTTTAAAAGCTCATACCTTGAAGAGCAGATAACCGCATAATTTGCAGACGACTCGATTCAGGGTCGCCCGAATTTCGTAGAAGCAACTGACGGCCTTTTTTCGGATCGACTTCTCTTCGTCTTTCGGGTTTTTGGCCAATTGGACGGCAATAAGGTTGTTGATTCTAAAAATGACAATTATAAAATGGCAAAATTTTATATTTTTACCTATCTCCATCTAGCAGCTCCTTTTTAACGGATGGATATTTGTGAGGGAGCGGCGTTTTCCACGTGTACCTGAAAAGGATAAAATAGATTTTTAAAAATACCGTAACAGCAAAAATTCCTCAATCAAAAAACGATTTTTCGACGTACCGCAAATCAGCGGCAAATCGCCAGGGAGTGCTGGCGCCGGGGGCTAGCGGGTACGGTAGCCCTCCAAAATTCGGGATCTCGAAGAGGTCGACGTAGCTGGCACGACCGAGGTGTTGTTTTTGAGGGAAACAGTCTGCAAAAAAAAGAGTTAAAAAGGTCGCAAGCCTGGAAAAAATCTCCAACAATTTTCCTTTAAACTCTTTAAAAGTCCTATAAAAAGCCACCTGAACACGCCGGTCTCGGCTGCACCACATTGGACACCTTGAAATCGAGGGCCTCAGAGGGGAGCGGATACAGCGGGCGGCTCTTGTAGTCCAGAGGCGCCAGAAACTGCAAAAAAATAGATAATAATTCGATATTTCCAAAAGCTAACGCTCACCGATTTGCCAAAATTCACGTCCATCAGCGCCCCGGCCCGTCCTCATGAAATAGGCTACCTGAAACGGTCGATTTTAGTAGGAACAGCGCTGAAAACAACTTAAAAAAAATGGAAAACAAGGAGAAACGGTAAAGGAGCGCGAAAAACTGCGAAAATGGAAAAATTTAGGCCAGGGATTTTTGAAGAAATAGCAAAAACCAGGGTTGAAAACCGCTTCGCGGCTTTTCAACCCTGGCCCTGTCTAGGATCGATGAAGTTATTGACTTTGCATAATCCTTGCCAAAACCGCTCACCGAAAAATGAAAAGCGCGCCCTCTCTTCCTTTTTATAAACCATTTCCACTTCCGGCGTATGCTAATTGATTCCTAACAAAGAGGTTGGCAGAAAACTTTACAAAAACCTAATTTTAATATCGAAAATAGCAATTTTTCAAAACTTTTATGTGTGTGCAGTCGATTCCAGCCCCTTCTTTACCCTATGTCGTTTCTTCCCAACCGAAAAAATGCTTCCCTGAGGCTGTAGGTGCGGAACATCCAAAAGGAAGTGCATGCAAATATACACACACACACACAAACACTATTTTTTTATATATAGTAGGACTAGGATTGAGCTACGGACTTGAAAAACGCTGCAACCCTATAAAAACTAGTTTATTTTCTACGTTCTACAACGAATGACGACTAGAAAATAGTTCAGAAAAAGTCTAGAAAAAAGAAAAAGTTTTAAAATAGTTCTTAGCTTTCTAAAACGAAAAAGTAAGGCCTTAGAGGCCTCAGAACCACTCAAAAAAGAGAACGCAAGGCCCTCTAGAAGCTGCAGGCAAGAAAAGCCGATGAAAAGCCGCACTTCCGCCCCAATTTCCTCATTTTGCATCACCACCCAGGCTTTGTCGGGCTCAATTTGCCCGACGAGGCGGAATACACGGCGTAATCGAATGAGGGTGGCGCACAATCACCAGCGTCTAGAGCATTTGGGTGTAGCCGTGGTGGGGCTGGTTCAAAGGGCAGCCCGGCCCGAGCCAGAGAATCGACCCGTCGTGTGTCCATATCCCCAGGGCGCATGTTTTTTCTGCGGTTTTCACGGCTTGCTGACAGCCAGCCGATATATTGGAATGGGGAACAGCTTCTTTAGATGAGGCTTTAGCGCGAAAAGATGGTTAGGGAAAGTTTGGGCTTAAAAATGTTGATTTAAAGCTGTTAAATCATTATCTGAGGTTAGAAATTGTTATAAAGTTAGCTTAAAAGGGTTTCGAACCAATTTATAGCCATAAAAAGCTGCTTCAGATACCTAGGTCAAATTTTAGGTAATCGAGCCATACTTAAACTTGTTAAATGAATGTTTCCAATTGTAAAATGTAATGTACCTCGTTTTATATAGCTTTAGCCCTTATTTATATTGCTAAAACTATAAAACAAAACATTTATCGATCAAAAGAGGTTCCGTATTTTCCTATCGACATTTCTATCGTCCGTTAGCGCCGCTGTACGCTTTAAATTTTGCTTTACTTTCTTTTTACTTGTTTTTTTCTATATAAACTGCTTTCCCAAAATCCTCATATAGTTGTCGTTTTCCAGATGCCCTCCTTCTTCCGCAAGCTGTGCTCGCTGTGTGGCTGCGGCGACCCCGAGGATGACATGAACGGTAAATTACTTTTTTTGCGATTTCTAGGGCGTTTTTTCGCGTTTTTCGGTTTAAGATTAAAAACTGGCATGTATAAATGAGTTTTACGCTTTTTCAGGCGCCTACGATCGCTTGTCCGAGGACGAGAACGGCGATGTCGTTCGAGTGCGCGGCAACGATCAATAGTCAGTTTCGATATTTTTCTTTTATATATCGTTTTGCTAGTGCCACCCCTATCCGATCGATCGTGCCGACGCGAATGGCTACTACGGAACGCCCGGAAAGCCGAACGAGGAGGCCATGCTCAACGGGATTGTCAATGAGACCCAGGAGGTATTCATTTTTAGATTTTGTAGTTTGTCGCTTTTCACGTTAATCCTGCAGCTTTAGCTTCCCTAACCCCCCAGGCAGACCCAAAAACCAGAAAAAGTTTAAAAATTTGAATTGGCAAGAAAAATCGTCGCTATTAGTCGGAAAATCGGGCTTTTTCGTCTGTTTTTTTGTAACCAAATTTCTTAGTTTTTCGTTCCGGATTACCCTAGATCTTGTAGTTTGTAGTTTTTCGCGTTAAATTCTTCAAACTACGAGAACTATATCAGTTTTTCAGGGCATAATCGACGTGACGCAAAACGACGGTATCACGCTGCCAACCAACGAGTATATGAGCCGCTACAACGCATATTCGGACGCCATCAACAAGCATGATGTGGTACGTTTTATACGGATTTACGTGCCTCGTACGTCGTACTTCGTTTCTTATACTTTGTGGATATAATTATCTTTTTTTAGGCGACGACCGCCGCTCCGGCCGAGGCCTTCTCGCTCGAATCTGGATGGACTGGTCAGTTTTTTTTGCTGATTGGGCTTAGGTTTCCGCAAGGATCTCCGCTAGATGGCCAGATCCCTGCTTTTTCCTGAATTAACGCTGCAATTCCGTCTTTCTTTTTCGATTTTCCGCAAAGAACTCTGCTAGCTACCTAGTTTTTCCCAGACTGCTGTAAAATTCCCTTTTTGGATTTTCCGCAAGGATCTCTGCTAGATGGCCAGATCCTTGTTTTTCCCAAATTCTCTCTGCAACACCCTCTTTTCCAGGAATGCCGATCAAGCATCGCTACATTCTCGACGACTCGGGCGCCAAGATCAACGACCGGTACCAGAAGACCGAGTTGGCCTACGACAAATACGAGGAGTACAGGCGAGGACTTTTTAGCAATTTTTGGAGTTTTTAGTAAAATTTAGCTGTATTTTAAGTAAAACAGCTATTTCGGAAACTTGGAAAGTGTGCAAAAATTCGAATTTGTCGCAAAAAAGTCATTTCACCTCGGAAAAATGAAACTTTCGTATTTTTCAGTCAAAATTTGCAAGTTCTAGAGATCTTGGCAAATCGGTTACGATAGCTATTCTATCTCCTAAACGGTTACGCTAGCTTATCCTATTCATCTCGTTTTTTTCAGTGGCCTCGTTGCGGAGATCTCCACCGCGGTCAACGGGATGGCCGTCGCGAATCAGAAGGAACTGCTCGGCACTCTATAAGCACGACAACTCTCGACGACCCGAATGATTTCCGCCCGTTTTTGCACTCTTTTAATCTACCCTCTCCATACTTTATGCATTACCCCCCAAAATTCATCCCCCCAATCTAACAATCCTTCTAATCTTCCCCTTTTTACCAAAAATGGCTAGAATGCCTTCCGAATTGGGTGATTTCCACGTGATTTACAGGTCCCTCTTCCCCTAATTTTAAGCTTTCTTTTTCGTCTTTTTAGTATCTATTAAAAAACAGCTCCTACTCCCGTTTTTAGTATCTTCTAGAAAAAAAGCCAAAAAGACACGAATTGTGATTGGTTTTCATCAATTCTTTTTGATTGGTTGATATTAATACGTTTTGCTTTGCGCGTTGAATTGTGTTGATAAGATGGGATAAATATGTGATAGTTTTATTGGCTTCTAGACCCTTTAAATTATTGCATTTTAGACGATTTTTAAAGGTTTAATTAGTTTCATTTATTACATTTTTTCAAAGCAAAAATCACCCTTTTACGCTAGAATTTTAGTACCTTCCTTTCAGAATTCTTTCCTTTTTTTGCTTTTTCTCTTTTGAAATATTCAGCGAGGCAGCGCGTTTTTCTTGGCGCGTAACTATGGATGCCCCCGGGCGCGGCGGGCAGCTAGCTTTTTCGTGCCGGGAAACGTACAAACGGAGGGGCAATATTGTTTCTTTGGGCGTGTTGGATGCCCTCCAGAATTCATTAGCGCACCTAATTCTTCACAATAAGGCTTCACTCGTCCTTGAAAGTGGATTTTCTAATCTTATAACCTTCAATTTAGCTTTAGAATCTATCTAGAAGTTTTTGTTTTCATGAAGTTTGTAGTTGATTTTCAGATATCCTCACTAAATTGACTTTTATTTCAATTTTTGACCCTTTAAGCCCATTTTTCCGTCGTTCCAAACATTCAATTGAACTTTTCACACTCTAAAACTCTCATTTCTTCTTTGTTTTAGTTCAGCTACCGCCACGATGTCTACCCGAACGAGGTCGAGGAGCCGCGATCGGGATAGCAGCAAAAACAGAGACACCGCAAAGGATATTATCCTTGGATTAGCGTAAGTAATACAAATTTAGAAACTCGAGCCCGATTTGAATTCTTTTAATTGTTTTGAATTTGTCAAATTATCAAATTTAGACCCTCCGGACAGGGACCCCGAAAGCCAAAGACCGGCACCGCCTACACACCGCCAAGGGTTTGATTTTGGACAAATTAGAAAATAGGGATTTAAATTAGGGTTTAAAAACTACAAAACTAAAGCTATTATACTAAATCTTGGATTACTATTGATTTTCATAGGTTTAAAACTGTTCAAATTTGTGCAGCGCTCGAAAACGACGGGCGATCAACGGCAGGCCAGCCAGGTGGCTTATTAGCAGCACTTACTCGTTTTAAATAAGACTTAGCTTTAGCTTTAATTTTTAAAGATTTTCCACACTACAACCTACAAAAAACTACCCTATCCCCGATTGCCGTGTTTTCTAAATATCAGTTTATCCGATTTAGTGATCAAAAGCGAGATTTTAGGATCCAATTTTTCTAAGATGCTTCTTCGGTGTTTTTCACTATTTCCAAAAGTAAAAAAATACAAAGTTTCATTAACAAAAACAAAAATTGGATTTTTCGCCGAAAAACGAGCGTTTTTCGACTAAAATGTAGAATTTTTAAAATTACAAAAATTTTGCGAATAGTTTTTCTTCATTTTAAAACTAGTGAAATTTTATTAAGAACACCATTAAAACACCCCCACCCCCGATAATGCCAACGAACCCAAAACCTCTCCCCGATCCCCCGATTGCCGTGTTTACCTCTGCACCTCGGTCTATCCGATTACGCGATGCAAAAGCGAGAGATCGAGAGAGAAAAAGAGACAAAGAGAGTGCAGAGATCACGGCGATCAGCTTCCTCATCGGCTCCGATCGTCATTCAGCAGCCAACAAAGACTATTATTGATCGACGACCCGATAATAAGGCCATCGATCGGCTCAATCAACAAATTGCCGATCTGCAGAGGCAGAATAAGGGATTGTTGTCCAATGAACAGGTTAGTGATGTTATAAAAACGTCGGATAATAGATTTTAAAGGACCGTGTAAGCCAAATTATCAAGCGCCGACAATTATATAGCGTAATTGGTTAGACTCTGCGCGAAAATTCGAGTTTTTCCTGCCATTTTTTCTTTTTTGTAATAGAAATTTTTTAAGCAGTTTTTAAAGGGCCATGTAAGCCAAATGATTAAGCGCCTACAATTATATAGCGTAATTGGCTAGAACGCGCGAAAACTATTTTTCACTGCAATTCTTTAGTTTTTTGACCCAATTTCTTTGGTTGCGCACTCGAAACCTAATAATCGGCAAGCTGGCAGAGATCATTTGAGTCAAATCCTCTAAGACCTCTGCTAGCTTGCTGCAAAATCGGGTCAACCAGCAGGGATTCCATAGGAATCAGAAAAATTAAAATAGTTAGGAAATTAAGGATAAATTAAACTTAAACTAGAGTATTCATTAGGTAGGATTGAAGAGAATTTAACTATTTAACGCGCTAGTGATCGATTTTCTGGATTCTAGGAAGCGCGACGACGTCTGGAACGGGAGCAGGAGGAGCTGAATCGACGACTTCGGACAGCACAAGACAACGGGGCCAGTGGAAGGGATTTGGATGATTTGAGGAGACAAGTATCGACGGTTGATGGAAGGGTGGGTTGAAATGGGAAGGAGGCTACAAACAACAACAAAACCAAGCTAAAAAACAGACCACTTTTACGTATAGACTACAAACTACCGCATAAACTGGCCTACAGGCTACAAACCACAAAATCAAGTAGCGTTCCGGAACAAAAACCCAGAAACTACAGCTCCCACCGGCCTACAAAAGCTCAATTTGTGAAGAGCAGCTTGAAATGCTATGAACTATAAAATAAATTGACCCATAAATTATTCTGGGGAAAAACTACAAACTACAACGCCGACCGACCCAAAACCCACTCAATTTAGGTCGGCGGCCTGAACACGGATCTCTCGGGAATCAAAAGCATGCTTGATCGCCAGAGCCGAGATCTCCAGCAGCTGGCCAGTGAGATGAAACAACGCCCAGTGGTCGACCCGAATGTACGAACCGATTACAACATGATAATTGGCTAATTCGCCCCAATTTTAGAAAATAGCCGAAACAAATCAACGACTGGACAACAAACTACGGGATTTGAGCACCAATGTCGGACAATTGCAAAAGCAGCTCGAGAAAGAGCTCGTCGATCGAGAGAGAGCCGACAGATCAGCACAGGAGACGTGAGAATTCGACTGCGTAATCGTTTAGGACTTAGCTAACGTAACCGATTCCGATTTAGCATCGTACTAAAAATAGAGTCCTATTAACCTAACGTAATGGATTTTCCAGATCCAAAAACTGCAAAACTTGTAGTTTAAAGTCCAGATTATATTTTAGGATCCAACGACTACAAGATCTACTCCGGGATCAGGACAAGCAGAAACAGGAGCTGGTTGGAGGGTTGGCGAGGAAGGGGGATAAGGATCGAGAACGGATGAATGAAGAAACGAAGAGGCTCAACGACAAGATACACCTAATTACGACTGAGGTACGGTAGGCGGGACGCGGGAAAGGTAGAATAACTACAAACAGACAATTAGCAAAAAAATCAACCTAAGGAGGTTTTTAAAAGCTAAAAACATTAAGAAAAAATGAAGTTGGTAAGCGCTACGTAAAAAAACCCTGTTTTTAGTCTAGGCGAACAGAGAGACAAAAAACAGACGAACAGGCATTTTCTTATCTGTACTTTTTCGCGGATTGGCGATTGGCTTATCTTTTTGGACCGGATTCGAACTCCAAACGTCTCAGAATTCTAACTGGGGGACGAATCGAGAACCAAAAAAAATAAAACGGTAAATTCTCTAAAATAGTAAAATTCCATTGATAAATAGCAAAATTGAGCAAAAAAAGAGCTCCAGATTTTTTAAAAGCTCTAAAAACTAGCTGAAACATCCAAATTGCATTCAATAGACGGAAAAAGCGGATTTTTATGTTTTTAATGATAGAAAACAAGCAAAAATGACATTTAGTTTACAAAAGCTATGGCCAAAAATGCCCTATGTTTTTGCACACCCTAAATACTAGCTAAAACATCAAATTCGTAACCATTGAGTCGCCAAAGCTGGCTTTTAATGATAAAAAAACACAAAGAATAATCTTTAGGTAACCAAATCGATGAACGACGCGCAACAGAAGCTACGCGATGATATGAATCAACGATTAGCAGGCCTAGAAGCTGTATGGGCTATCTAACGGACAAAAACTGTCAAATTGGACCTTTTTAGGCGCTAAAGCATCAAGCCGACACGTACGCTGCCCGGGATGAGGATATGAGGAGGAGGATTGAGGCTGGGATGAATGGACATGCTGAACAGATTGAGAGTCTCGGGAAAGCTGTGCAGGTCAGTATAGCTATGCCAAAGCCCAAGCCCAAGCCTAAGCCTAATCCAAAGCCTAAGCCTAAATCCAAGTCTAAGCCTATCCTAACCCAAGCCTAAACCCGCACTTTAGAATGATCGAAACAAGAACAAGGAGCGTTTCCAAAAAGTGAACGAAGCCCTCGCAGCACTGGAACATCACCTCGAGTTGGGGAATAAAAAGCTCGACAAAATGGTCACCGCCGAGATGCAGAATAGGTAAATTAGTAAAACGTGGCTCTTTTTCATCTAAACCTGAAATCTACATAGAAAAGTTGAAACTATTTAAAAAGTCGAAATTTGAGCAGAAACCGGTTTTTCGGTCGAAAAATCGTGGTTTTTTAGTTTGAATACGGAATTGTGGAGTTTCAAAATCTAGGATCAATATTAAAAGCTTAATTTACCAACCATTCTAAAAATGAGGCATGTTTTAGGAAACTGCACGAGAAAGGGCTGCTCTCAAAGGTCCAGGAAATAGAGGAGAAGCTGAATGGGCATATGGGAGGACTGCAAAAGGCGATAACTGACGTCGAGAGGGGCAAGGAGAATGTCAAGATGCCACAGCTCGATTTTGATGCCGTAAGTGGATAAACGGGCTGGCCAGGTCGATTTTCGCCTTAAAATAAGCCAAAAATCTAGGTTTTTCTAGTTATGACGTAAAAAGCCCGGTTTAGTGACGTAAGCGGTTAAACTGGACCTCGATTTAGGACGTTTTTTTGCATTAAAATAGGTCTAAAATCTACGTTTTTGCAGTTACGACGTGAAATGGAGGCCATAGCAGCGGATAAAAACAAACTATCGATGGAAGGGCTACTGAAGCTGGAGGAGAAAATGTCAAAAGTACAGCAAAGTAAGGGATAACTTAAATTACATACTTTTTTAATACCTTTAGATCTGCACAAAGATAAGCGAGAAATCAGCGATAGGCTGGGAAATATGACGGACAGCTCGGAGCTTCATAAAGTCAAGAAACAAGTCGACAAATTGGACGATATAAACCAGGTTTAATTTATCAAAATTGATACAAAAAGTTAAACTTAGTTAAAGCTACTATTTTGCCGGTTTTTAGGAAATGGAAGAGACGCAGGAGAGGATAAGGGACAAAGTGGAGAAGCAGATACCGCAAGACGTGAGTTAGGCCTAAGCCTAAGCCTAAAACCCAAGCGAAGCCCAAGCCTACTAATGCAAACTTTAGCTAAACGAACTATCAGCAAAAGCGGATAACATCAAGCATCAACTAAACGCGAGGATAGATAAAGAAGAAGAGGAGAGGTTAGAGAATCCAAAATTTCGTCCAAAACCTTCAAAAATTTGAGATACCTCGCTATCAAAGAGCTACAAGAAGCCTATACTCGGCTTCAACAATCCCCGGGAGTCGCTCAAAACGTGGCTAGAGGTGATGCCCAGCAGGCGGTTGAGGTGAGGGAACTGTTCTACAGCGTGATTGGTTAGAAGTTAGCTATCGTAATTCCCCAAGCGTAATTTAGGGTTTAGCTATCGTGATTCTTTAGTCTTTGGCTTAATTATATAGCGTTATTGGTTATTTAATAATATAAATGGTGTAATGCTTTCTAAACCGTTATCACTATCCCTAAGCGAAAAACATTACAAATCTTATTAAAAATTCTAAAAACATCGATTTTGCCGCGATAAATGGCCGATTTTTCGATAGTTTTTGAACATGAAATATAGCGAATTTTAGTAAAAATAATAAAAAAATGCTTCCTAAACACTAAAGAAGCGATTTACTTATCGTAACCAATTCGTCTAGGGCCAAGTGCGTCGTGACGTCGACGAATGCAAGATTGCGATTAAAAAATTGGCCGAGTCGGTGACGACTGTCAAGAATGTGTTGGACAAGAAAATTGTCGATGAAGTGAAGCAGGTTTGGAAAGGCATCGATTTGTCTAGTTGTCCAATCCCAAATTTTTAGCGTCAATCCGATGTTGAACGTCTTGACGCGCAGATGAGGCGACAATAAGACTAATTATATAGTTTTTATTGATTTTTTGAACAAAATACAAACTTTAAAGTCGAATCTAACTTCATATAACTAAAAACGAAGAAGTTTACGCCATGAAAATCGAAAATTGAGTCGAAATTACATTTAAAATACGTTTTCTATAGTTTTGCGATAAAAATATAAACTATAAAGTTAATTCTACTGTAAATGGGTTAGAAATGAAACTTTTTACGCGATTAAATTCTAAAATTAAGCGCGTAAAAATCGCCCAAATAACGTTAAAGCTGGTTTTTCTAGACTACTGATCAAAATACAAGCTATGAACCTCAATCTAAATATACACTGGCCAAAAACGAAATTGTTTTGAATTAGAAATCGAAATTTTTTTTCCCCAAAAAGATCAAACAGGTATTATCGTGGGTTCTAGAGAAAAACAGTCCTCAAACAATGCATGAACTCGATAACAACACGTTTAGAGGGATAGTAAACAATCTGAGAAAAGGTGTATAAATATCACTCTATCCCCCTTGAACATTAGATCTATCTATTTTGATCAAACACCCCCAAAATATGTCTCAACTCCTGCAAACTTGTCTCGTCCTAGTCGCCTTCATCTGCTTCGTTCAAGCACAATTTGGTGAGTGTTTATATAAAAGTTATAAATAATTCGATTTTTTTTTTATAACTTTAGCAGTTGTATTTATTGTATAATTTGGCTAAACGTACCTACTTTGAAAGGTTAAAATCCTAACCTTATCGTGATTTTTAGGAATTATCGCCGCCGGCAGCCCTGGCCAACTGGCCGCCCGAGGTACTGGAGGGAATGGCGGAGGAATCGTACTTTAATAAAACGCTAATATCTACAAATAATAAAGATCTATGCTTTATAAACTGTTTTACAAAGAATTTTACACTACAAAACGAGCTATTGGAAGGAAAAAGGCAAAAATCGTTTTCTATTCAAGTACTAGACCTTCAAAAAAGAAAAATCGCTAGAAAAACCGGTTCTTGATAATTTTGACGCAAATACAAGCTACATAACTTAAAATTTGCGCTAAATTGGCTAGAAAAAGTTGTTACGGCAAAAAACGGCAATAAACTGAAAACGCAAGGATAATAAAAAAAAAGAGTTTGAAACCGCAATTTAATAGTTTCCGACCATATTTCAAACTATAAACTTAATTTTTACTTTAAACTGGCCAGAACACAAGAACTAATAACTTTAATCAGCTCGTTTTTAGGGTTTTCTCGCATAATTGCAACTTTTAAAGTTAAATCTAAGTTTAATCGGCGTGAAACAAAACTTTTAACAAAATTAAAATCGGAAATTGAGCCAAAATAACTTTAATTACCTAGTTTTTCTCGTTTTCACGTCAACATAAAAGCTACTCTTAATTCTTAATTTGAACTTTTTAGAAAATGCCCTTTACGCGACGAAAACCCGAAAATTGAGCCGCGCAGATAAAAATAGTCCCCCACCTAAGATCAAACAGCTATTTTTGCGCAGAGAAAAACAGCCGGGGATCTGGAACAAAGCCTGAACTCGATAACAACACGTTTAGGAGGATGGTAAACAGTCTGAGAACCTTATAAATATCTCTGTATCCCCATTATACCCAAGACCTATCTATCTTGATTCAAAAAACCCCAAATATGTCAAAATTCCTGCAGACCTGTCTCCTGATCGTCGCCTTCGTCTGCTTCGTCCAGGCCCAGTTCGGTGAGTTGTCGACGTTGTAGTTTGTAGTCTGTAGCCGGGCTCGTCTGGCTCGTCTCACCATCATGCGCGTGTAGAAACCCTGAAAAAAGAATTTATAAAGCCAATTTTAAGAATTGAACGCGACTTTTCAGCCCAGACTTCAAAAAAATTTAACAAACCTATACTTTTTGAAGTTGTAGTTTGTAGCCTGTAGCCTGTAGCTTCACACTTCGCTGGTAGTACGCGTGTCGAAGCCTGAAAAATGGAATATAAGGCAAATTTAACAATTTAATAAGTCAATCAAAAAATGAAAACATGCAGGTTAGCCTTTTTTAGCTTCTTTTCGCCTTCTTTCGGTGTTTTTGAACGTAACATAGCTCATTCGATAGAGCTTGCAATTCTGAACAAATCCTATCTTCCAAAATTGTTAAACGATGACAGTCTTTCAGAAAACGCGCTCTTTTTGTTAATGTGTGCAAAAACGGGCATAACCGGCCCTTTAACAGCAAATTTTCTACTAAACCGTTATCGTACATCAATTTTTGAACGCTGGGATTGGTTTAGAATTTCAAACTCTATCGAACGAGCTACGGCACATCGCAAAACTCCAAAAGCACCTAAACAAACATAGCTAACGAACCTGTACTTTTCCTATTTGGACGTCGTAGCTCCTAGTTTGAGGCTTCCGACTTGTCGTGCGCGTGTAGAAGCCTGAAAAATGAAGTAGAGTACATATCTACAAAATTTAATGGAGGATTTGAAAGCATAATTCAACAATTTCCAGGAATCCTGCCCGCCTCAAACCCAGGTCAGCTGGCCGCCCGAGGATCGGGAGGAAATTCGGGACCCCTGGCCGGATAAGTAACTACAAACTACAAAGAATAACTGCTAATAAAGATTATAAATATAAAATAGTATTTTTCAAAGAATTTGACTAGATTAGACAATTGGAAAAGTGCCAAAACAAAAAACTGGATGATTTCCTCGCGTAATCGTTTTGGCCGGACAAAAACTACAAAGTACAAACGATTACTGCGAACAAATATAATGCAACTGTTTTACAAAAAAGTTTTTACAAACTTGTCAATTTACTACTCCCAGCCTCAAAATTTGTCATTGTCAATGGACAGTTACGAGAAACTGCATCCATGAAGCCGAATTTCAGGTGCCCAGGCCCAAAAGGCAACCGACACGGCGAGGATTTCAGGTTTCCTCGTCAAATTACCACTTCCAGGCCCCGAAAATTGCTCAAGGATAATCAGCGGATACTAGAAAAGTCGAGACGATTTTCTTAAATCCCTACAAAACGAGCTATAAATCGCAAAATCCCTCGCAAAATCAGGTAACCTCGACCACTTACCAATCGCAGACCTGTAATTTTCGTCACTTTAAGCGGATAGCCTAAAATGGCAACCAGAAAGCCAGATTAAGGCACCCTCCACTCGAAAATCGTTAGAAAAACGTCAAAATAGCTAGAGGAAAGTTTAGGTTTTCAGGTGCGCCTGTCGATTCAGGTGCCGATGATAGATTGGCGATATCCGCTTCGAAATCTCTGATAGACCATGACTGGAGACCAGAAAAGGCCAGGCACGAACCGCATTTCCTGTTGGATTCGGCCAACCCCGGCGCGTCAGCGACATGCACTGATGATGTCTAGAGGGAGATCTCATGAGAAATCCGCCCCAAATTGCCCTCAAGTCAACCCAATAACACGTTTTCTTGCTTTCTCTCTCTCTCTCTCTCTCTCTCTCGCCTTCTCTCTCTCTTTTTCCTAATGAAAAACATTTCAACTGGGCGAACAAGCGACCCGTGGGGGATGTTTGCGTCTGATCTGACCCCCAGATACCCCCGTATATAGGTGTATCATGGAGTGGGGGAAGCCAGAAAGTGTATAACACTCCTTCTACAGTAATCAAATCATCATGCAGTCGTGGCTTATCCTTGCTATTGTCGCCATCATCGCCTTCGCCACCGTTGAGTGCCAATGGGGTGAGTTAGATGCTATGTAAACCCGTAGTTTTACGGGTTTAAAAGATCTTCATAATTTTGTGTAAATTGATACGGATCCATATTATTATTTTAACTAGTTTATTAAATAGATTTAAATCAATTAAACGACGTTAAAATGGCGTTTTAACAATTTCAATAATCTTTTTGTTGTAGGATATGTTATTTTGGCTAGTTTAATTCGCTTTTAACAATCTATTAAAAACGAAAAAATCAAATTTTCTAAATTTAGGATTTTGAGGCTTCGAAAATCTCCACAGCGCAATTTTTAGCAGATATGGTATTTTACCTAGAATGACTCAGAATGCATAAAAATCACGTTCTAAAACCCAAAAACTCCCAAAATCTCAAAAACCACATTTTTCCAGGAGGATACGGTATGCGCGGATACGGCGGTATGGGCGGATACGGACGGGGATACGGTATGGGAGGATACGGAATGCGTGGATACGGAATGGGATACGGAAGAGGAATGGGAATGATGGGCGGATATCCTGGAATGGGAATGATGGGAGGATGGGGCAAGAAATAGACTTCCCACTCAACTATCAATTGATCTGAAGAGCTGATCCTCATTTCACTTGCTCATATTTGACAAATGGCAGGGAATAAATATAATAATATTAATTTTTGGATGCCAAAATGCACAATATTGTATACTGTAGGCCATTTTGCACATTAAAGCTTCAAAAACTACACACTTTATGGAAGTTTGCACCATTTTTTTGCCGTTAATCGAGTTTTTGTGCATTTTTAGCGCATAATGGAGGTCAGGTATACCTTAAAATGGCAGGAACTAACTATAATACAGATTTTTGTATACCAAAATATTTATTTTACGATAGTTTACATTTTAAAAACAGCTTAACTGATTCTATTCACTTTTTAGAGATGCTTTGAGGGGAAAATAGAGTTGAGTTATCGATTTCTCCGCTTTTTTAGCCGTTTAGACCTTGGAAATGGCAGGTAATCAACCCAATATTAATTTTTCGGGATTAAAATACACATTTTAGGCTAGTTTACACTTCCTTGTTCCTTGAATCTAGTCTAGTCCCATTTTTGGGGCCCAAAATTGAGGTTGGCTGACTCATTCCTGGACCTCCTTGCCAAATCCCGCGAGGAGAAACCGAAGATTCGCCAAACTCGCACTCGAGGATTTTACTTTTTGAAGCGAGAGAACACGAGATTGGTAGAGGGAGCAGAGAGATGCCATTTAGCCAGATTTTAGACAGCTAGAGACGCAGAGAGACAGACGGTTAGACAAACAAACTGACAGAGAAGGATCTCGATTCGAGTTTAGCGATCAGCTTCTCAAAAGGCTTGCCCAAGCTGGGGATTTGACCGTGAAAGCTTATCCTATAGCTGAATGGATAGAGGATAGAGAGCGAGGGTGCGAGAGAGAGAGAGAGAGAGAGAGAGAGAGAGAGAGAGAGACGGAGAGAGACAATTAGACAGACAAGGATCTCGATCTGAGGATCAGGGATTTGCCAAACTTTTCGTGGTTTCCGTTTTGGGGATATGGAGGGAGTGACGGGAGGGAGGGATGGCATATAAGGGAAGAGCGGAAACCCGGGGTACAACGTGCTCTCACCACTTCTCTCTTGCTCGCTCTAGATAGACGCACTCAACCGGTCTCTTGATCGGGTTATGTTTTGATCTTACTAGTTAGATACCAGGCTTTATATTTTGCCATTATAACAATTTAAACCTTTTAAAGTTAGAAAAATCAGATACTTTGTAAAAATCGATCTTTTGGCAAGCAAACTATGCAAAAAATTTCCATAAAAATACTTTAAAACTATGGATTAATGCAATAAAATAGCTTTTTTAGCTTGTATACACCCCAGAAATTCAATAAATTCACTCAAAAACTCATTTTTAACGAAATCAAAATCAGATACCTTCCAGTTGATGCAGCGGATACTCCTCGCCAGCCTTTTGGTCATCATCGGCCTCGTCTTCGTCACCGAGGCTCAATTCTGGGGTGGTGGACCAAGTGAGTTGACTGCATTAATGTATTTTCAATGTAAAATTTTAATTTTATTTTAATAATGAAAAACCCGATAAACTACGCGACTTTCCAGTGTATGGGCCTCGGAAATTACGTATTGTAACGGAAAAAAAGCCTAAATCTCGTTTAAAAACTTGAAATTATGTATTTTTATGTTAAACATTTTAGCATTTTGAATGGAAACAAAAATAGACAAATAAATATACAAACTACGCGACTTTCCAGTGTACGGCCCGTACTACCGCCCTCCATGGGCCCGCCCGCCGTGGGCTCGCCCGATGTGGGGACGCCCCTATGGAATGTACGGACCCTACGGAGGTGGATGGGGAAAATAAGCCGAAGACTACGCGACGCTCCTCTAAACTAAAGAATTACTACGACGATTTCAAGCGCTTTTGAAAGCTATTTACATATTGTACATAAATTTCTTTTTAAGCTTATTTGCTGTACACTGGATTTTTTTACAGTATCCCAACAATGGCTTGAAAATATATTTCTTTATTAAACCCGCGTAAGTTTTCAAGTAGGAAAATATTTGGAAAAGCGAGGCAGAAGCTTTGTGAGGAGAGACACTTGATGGATGAGAGATCAGAGGGTGGGGAGAGATAGAGAGAGGGAGGGAGGGAGAGAGATAGAGAGACGCAGACAGCTAGAAAAACAAAAACATCAGCTATCATCAGATTGTGGGTCGGGCATAATGACGAATGGACGGCAGCTCGCATCGTCACAAGCCCGAATCATCATCCCAGGGCCGGGCCATCTACAAAAAAAGGTTTTAATACCTTTTAAGCTTAATTTTAAAACGGGAGATAGGAAATGGGACTAAGAAAAAGAGAACTCCAAAAATACCTAGGTAAAAATTGTAAAATTGTCGACTCCGACTGCTGCCCACTCGTTCGATTGGAATGCTGTTTGGTAAGGAAAGATAGAGAGTTGATAGGTAAGCTAAGGCTAAGTTTAAGCCTAAGCCTAAAACCTAAGCCTAGGCCTAAGCAAGCGTCCAACCTGTCCTCCTCCTGGAACCTGGCCTTCGTCCTTATCTGCGAGCAACAACCGGCCCCCTTCCGGTTTCTCGTCATCAACAACAGGTAGGTGGCGCCTAAAGTCGATAGAGCTATGGAAAATAACTTTATTTATATTACCTAACGACGATACAAAAGCCGTAGCTATAAGCCCAGACGCCAGTAGATGAACAAATGCCGCGATGCCGAGTTTACTCTGGAAATTTCCGGTTTAAAAGGTGTTTCTAAGTTTTAAACGCTGTAAAAACTGACTTAAGACGGCGTAAAATACCGTACCTGATATTTAGCTGGGTCAAAATTGGAATATTTATTCCATACAACCCTTGGGGGTTTGATACTGGCCGCGATGAAGATGACGTCGGCCAAAATCGAACAGCCAGCTAAATTTGACGATTTTTTGCTACTTTCTGCTGCCGTTGCGTCGCGTACCTGTCAAAAATAGTGTCCCCACGAAGAGAATGGAGTTTGGAGGGAAACACGGGCTACAGACTCCAATTATCGCCGACAAGAGGCCGAAGACGAAGACGAACACGGAGAAGAAGACGACACTCTTGTGCTGGGCTGAAATTGGGTATACTGTAGGCTACAGACTACAAAACTCACGTAAAAACCGATGTAGCAGCACCTCCTGCGATTCTTCATCACCTACGCTCAACGCTTGCATTAGACTTTTCTGAAAAAGGTACGGTATTTCCGTTACGCTCCACTTTACATACCTCGGCAGCCGGGTCAAATTTGTAGACGCATCGATGGGCGGTGTGAGCTGTTTGGTGTAAAGGTATTAGGCCGGGTGAGGGCTCGATACAGTCCTTCACAACACCATGCTGATGGGTGACGTGGCCCCATGGGACTTCCGCTATCTGAAGCGTAGTGTAGGAGTTTAAGGTCGTGCTCGGAACGTAAACTCGCGTATTTTAATACCTCTAGATACACATGGTTTCGAAAACTCGTGCTCCTTAATCCAGATACCCTCTAAACTCATGCTCTCACCTGCCACTGTGAACTGAACAAGCTGAGCGCGGTCAGAATCAGCCCGGCAAACAACAGAAACAACGACACGGCGAGCACCAGCTTGTACGAGGCCGCGTGGCTCATCCTCCTAAAAAATTCAGATCGATAGAGCTCAAAAAATAGACTCGAACTCCCAGCTCCCTAAAAACTTGCTCTCTCGGGCTCAACCCGTATAAAAATTCGGCTTCTGTGAGTCGCAGGCTCTGCATTTTGTGACGAGACGACAGCTAGCAGTGAGGCTTTGCGGAATTGGTGAGCGTTTAGGTTATTGGCGTGTGGTGTAGCATTTTCAGACAAAACTGCTTCCCCAGCTAGCCCCTGGCAACCCGTTGATGGGATTGTGGCGGAATGTCGGGAATTGAGGCCCGAATACACGTGTCTTTAGCTAGTGATGAGAGAAAGATAGAGAGAGAGAGAGAGAGTGAGAGAGAAATATAGAAACGTTACCTGTTAGCCCCCGGCTCGACAAAATGCTGACTGCCATCCGGGCCATGCTTTAGGAGGAGATGATGGTACTCGGTGGTGCTCATTTCTGGGGAGAGATAGAGGGATTAGAAACGAAGGAGAGAAAGAGAGAGGGAGAGAGAGAGCAACGAAATGCCTGACTAACCCTAAGCCTAAGCCCAAGCCTAAGTCTAAGCCTAAATCTAAGCCTAAGCTTAAGCCCAAGCCTAAGCCTAAGCCTCGACGTTATTCCGAAACAGAAAATGAAAAAATTGGAATGCAACTAGACGCCTCACGCCCTTTGCAAGTGACACATTCACCCGGAAATGCGCCCCTAGGATGGAAGGGGGGCGGAAAACAGCTCGCCGTTTAATTTGTCAACGGGCAGCTTGAAGCCCAAGACGGGTGAACGGCTTTTAAAGGGACAGAGAAGTTGGGAAATCTATGGATTCTCATTTCCAACAAATTTCTGGTAGGGGAACTGGCCTTTAAAGGGCTCCGGAAAACAATTAATCTATGACTTTTCATATCGTAATGCTTCCTTTCATGAAAGATGTGTTTTAAAGGACCCGATAAGGCAGAAAAAACGAAAGATTTCCGTTTCCGACCGTATTCTGACATGCAAAATTCAAAAATCACGCTCTCTAACGTGTCAGGGCCTTCAAAAATGGGGCATTCTTCGAGGCAGGGCTTTACCAGGGACCAATCAAATTACCCTCTAAAGCCTCACGGCGTCGAAAAGCCGAGGGATGGGAAAAACGGAACGAAAAGGAAGGAGGAAGAGAAGAAGAGGTCTTTTGTTTTGTGGCCTGAGAGGGGGTAATGGAAGATGAGGTAACAGGATAACCCCCTTTTACCCCCCGAATGCATCACGATACGAAATTCAAGGGTTAGGTGAAGGTCAGAAAGGGTAAAATCAAAGGAAAAACATGACGATACGAAATTCGGGCTAGCTGGCATCAAAGAGGCTCAAAATTTGCAATTAAAGCTAATATTGCTTTCATTGAATGCATTACGATATGAAATTCAGTCTAGGGGAAGCAAAAAAGTCTCAAAATTGGAATTCCGCTTCCATTTAATGCCTTATGACACTAAATTTAGGATAGCTTACACCAAAAAAGCTAAAAACCCAGATATCAAGTGGCGTAGTACCCTTGACAACTCTTGACGGGTTGAGTATCGGGCCGTAGGGAGTTATGAGGAACGTGTGTCTCTTCTCTCTCTCTCTCTCTCTCTCTCTCTCTCTCTCTCTCTCTCGTTTGTCTTTCTGTCACCCCCCTAAAATGTCCATAAATCGGGGGCTTGTCGTCTGTCTGCCATCGAGAAGAGCTTGAGTGTGGCAAGAAAGATGGATATCTACCCCATATGTTCCATTCGGAACTCATAAATAGGGATTTTGAGCCGTTTGTCTTGAAAGTTGTGTCTGTCTGCAGGTTTATGCCCATTTGTTTGTCTCTCTGTCTGTTTTCTAAATTTTGGCTGCACTACAGGCTACAAATTAACAAGGAATAAACCCTAAACTGCATACTTTTCAGGTATCGGATCTCAAAATTAATTTCCACATGAAAAAATGCAATATAAGCCAGAATATAGAGTCTATGGGTCCCAGAATGAGCCGTTTGGCCCTCAGGATTGAGCCCTAGGCCCATCCCCGGGCCGCCGGAATTGGCTCCGATCTGTTTCTCTTTTTGCGTAGCGCAAAAAGGATAGGATGATTTATAGAGAACGTGCCTCCAGGCAATTTTCTAGCCTGTAGGGAGGCGGATATTCAATATTCTTTGTTATTAAGTGGTATTAAGTGGGTGGATAGCAGAGGTCATTGGGGAACGCTGAGGCTAGTTAATAAACCCTTTAAACAACTAGAAAACTCGTACCTCAACTCCTTCCTGGCAAATTGCACTCTCCGTAGCGTCGCATCTCTCGTCAGGGTGTCCAGCCTTCTGAAAACTATGGCGTAATCGATTAGGTGATAAAATTAGGAAATCGAGAGCATCTTTGAAAACACGAAAAAGCATAGAAATAGTAAAAACCTATTTTTAATGGATTACGCTATAGAATTAGGTAATTAGGAGCCGGTCGGAATAGAAAAAGCTTTATGAAAGGCAAAAAAAAACTTAGAAAAACGATAAAAACTCTGTCTAATCGATTACTGCACGAAATTAGCGTAATTAGGCGTCCGTTGGAATCGAGAAACCGTAGGAAAAACCGTAAAACACAAGAAAAAAGACAAAAACCAAACCCAAGAGCCCCGTCAAAAGTATTGGAGCGGAATATGTTGAATGTTTCCACGCTGTTCGAGTGGATGGACGGGGTTGGCAAGAAGAAAAAGAAGTCGTTAGTCGAGGTGAGAAATTGGTTGGCCCCACTCCCTCTCTCACTCTTCCACTCTCTCTCTCTCTCTGTCTCTGTCTCTCTCTCGCTCCCACTGCCCCCATTCGGCTTCTTCTTATCCGTTATGTGCTGTGAGGGCCTTTTGGGACTCCTTTCATCGTCCTTCTTCTTCTTCTCTGTTTTGTGGATTGCCTCGTACCCCCTAGGGCATTATCACTCCCCTCCCCACACCCCTACATCCGGTAAGTGGATCCCTTCGGGGCGTTAGAAGCCTGGGAAATGCCTGAAAAAAAGTGAAAAAATGGTGGAGGCCGAAAAACGTTTGCAAGACCTTTACAGGCGTGAATTTCATCGCGTAATCGATCAGGCAAGGTATTTAAGTCTGAATTTCATTGCGTAATCTATTAGGCTAGACGTTAAAACGTGAATTACATATCGTAATCAATTAGGTTGGGTATTAAGACGTCCATTACATTGCGTAATCGATTAGGTAGGGTTTTGAGAACGAATTTCATTGCGTAATTGATTGCGAAAACGCCTGCGTGAATTCATGAAAAGGTTGTCAGGTGGATTGGAGGCCCTTGTCTGGGGAGGAGGAGGAGGAGAACAAAGAAAACGATAGAAAAGAAGAGAGAGAGAGAGAGAGAGAGAGAGACGCAGAGAAAGAAAGCAAAGTGCTTGTGGAGGGTGGGACAAATGGAATCTTCTCGGGCAGGCCTGGCCGGGTCCTTGGCTCGTGTGGCCAATGGAACTCGATCACCTCCTTCTTTTTGTTGTCGGTCGGCGGGTTTTCGGTTCTCTCTCTCACTCTCTCTCGCCTAGACAACGGCCATTTCTCTAACTGTTTTTTTGCAGGGTTTTTGGAAGTAGTGTCTTGGCAAAGCTGAGTTATAGTCAGCTTACAGAAAGGAGACAATTTAGAGGTACCAAACGTAATTTAAGCATAGCCAAATCATACTAGAGGCTAAATGACATGCCAAAAGAAGAAAATAAGCACTTTCAAGGTATCTAAATTTATATAAGCCGATTAAAGGCCACACCGGCGCGAAATGAAAGGATTGGCCGCTCGCCAATTCCGCGGTGATCCATTAAACGGCCCTCCGGCCATGGCTGACGGGTGGGGCAGCCGCCAAGGGGGTGGATGAGTGGATTTGCATGAAAAATGAGGGAATTGGGGTGGCGAGAGAGAGATAGAGAGAGAGAGAGACAGACATACGAATAGAGTACCTGAACGCCAGTTCGTAAAAGCTATGCCCTTTCCAAGCTCCAGGCTTCATCCGCCCAGCAGGGCGTCAAATTAGCCATTCGCGCCCCCCGGGGTGTACACAGGTGTCCGGCGGAATGGATTAGAGGGGCGCGATAATTGGCCCATTCCGATGGATTCTGGCTTCCTGCTTAGGCTTAGGCTTAGTTGCAACTGGTTGACTAGCAGAAACCATTTAGAAATGACTAAAATCTGAAAAATTCGGGTCCAAAGAAGTTTCTGAGTCCAACTCGACCGCCTGGGCCCTTTGGCCCCAACTCCTTGAGGCCCGGGGTCCTGATTTGCATATTTTTGACATGCGGGAGATGTGTGTCCCAAGCAAGAGCCCAGAGAGACCCAAAAAATGGAATTCCCGCGTTTTCCGGAAGCCTGGGTGCGTGATGGACTTTGGGAGGAGGTCAGGCACGTAGACTGAAAACTAGAGGCATGCGAGGAGAAATTATTGGGGAACAGTTCAGCTATAAACTACGGTAGTTACATCTGGGAACTAAAACGGGCCCTGGGTCCTAAAAAAGCACCTGGGAAATGCATGGGGCCTAGCAACAGCCTGGAGGGGTACCTGATTTTGGGGCCTATCGGGTGTGCATTTCTGAGAGAGGGGTACTGGAAGTTGGAGAACAAAGATTTGGAAGACAAAAAAGATATGTAGCAGAGATTCTTGAGGAAGCGAACCGGGCTTATGAAGCAGGTGGCTTCGGCTTCGCTTGCTTAGCTTCACCGACTTAGCTTTGGCTTGGGCTTCGTTTGCACAGCTTCGCCGACTATATTTAGCATCCGCGTAGGCTTTGCATTAGCTTCTAAAGCATAGCTTCCCAGCTAGTTGTGTGCTTATCCCCCTCCGGCCTCTCGGCGCTGGAGAAGAACCTACCGGTATATTGGGGTGCGTCGTCCCCAATTATATCCGAGCAGTCCAAAATTGGACCCCATACTTCACCGTAGCCTGGGGTCACGACAAAATCCGGCAATGGTTCGATGACCCCGGAAGTTGTTATTTGTAGCTGATCTAGTAGAACACTAATCAGTACTCAATACACACTCTCCCCCTAGGGGGAAGTGGCAATGGGAGGGGAACGGACGTCTCCGACCCCTCAAATTGGCCACGGATGGGGGGAGGGATATGCCCTGACATTGGGCCAGGTGAGGGGCGAGTGGGGGTGAAAAGTCGGTTTAATTACCCAAGTTTGAGGTTAGGGTGGTAGTGGGCCGGGTGGGGAGCGGGTAGGTGTGAGGCGAGAGAGCCGACGCCAAGCCTAAACCAAGCCCAAGCCTAACCCTAACCCTAAGCTAAGCCTAAAGCCCAAGCAGAAATATTTTTAGCAAGTTTCCCCAAATTTCCTTTGCCAGCTTGTCCACATCTGACTAATTCCATCCCCCCAAATCCCGGCAATTTTCTCAACCCGCCGTTTTTTGTGGTTTGGCCCCGGCAAGTTCAGCTTTTCCGCTTTTTCTCGCTCCCCCCATTCCCGGAAGGCCGGCTATAAATAGGAAAAGCCTTCTCGTGCCCTCCTCCTCCTCCCCTCCCTCCTCTCCACTCGTCCTCATTTTGCAGCCCTTTCCTTCACCCACGTGTTGATTTTTGCACCCACCAATTTTTGCAGCCCTAAATAGCCTCGTTGCGCAAACATTTCAGGTTGCAGCGGCAAGGTCGCCATACTCTGACTCCTACCGGCTCTTTGAAGCTTTGATCTGTAGTTTGGAGTCTGTAATGGCAGGCGAAGTAGAGTTTAGTGAGATCTTAAGGTTTCCAGATGGCTTATCAAGCGTTTTTAGGATGATAGCTGGCTTTAAGGTATGTTAGGGTACTTTAAGTTCCTTTAGTTTGGATTTTTTAGTTTCTGTAATTTGTAGCCTATACTAAAGTTAGCTAAATTTGTTAAACTAGGCTATAAACGGCTTCTAGAAGACTTCAAAATACTTTGTAAGCTTTTGTTTATGAGGATAACTGATGTTAAGGCATCTGAGGATACTTTACATAGACTGTAACGTATAATTTCCTGTAGTTTGTAGTCTATACTGCCTACATTTTAGCGCAAATTTTATCTTTCCGGTTGATTAGAAACGCGTTTTTGAAGAGATACCTGATTTTAAAGCTTCTTAAGGTACCTTAACCCCTTTTAATGTCCATTTCAGAGTTTCATGTCATTTTCAATACGTCTCGTGTAGCTCAGAGATCAAAATCGGGCTTTCCCGTGGCCTTTATTCGTCTTTCCGTTCTTTTCCCCTCCCACGGCAGTCCCTTCTGAATTCTCAGAATGCCCCAGAATGCCCCCCCCCATGCTTCATTAGAAGCCGAAGCCTATTTACTGGCCCTAAGCGAACATGACGAACAAAATTATTGATCCTTTTGTTTTAACTTTTGCGGGTTGTAGCTACTAGGTTTAGTATCTCAGTGTCCAGCGTTTTTCAAGGGCTTGAGAATGTGGTTTATTCATTACGATAGGATATTTAGACAAAGATATGATCAGAAAAGTTGTTCCCACCCTCAAACTTGGGTAATTAAACCGACCTGCGCTCCGCGACTCGCCCCCCACCTGGCTCACTGTCAGGGCATATCCCTCCCCCCATCGGTGGCCAATTTGTGGGGTCGGAGACGTCCGTTCCCCTCCCATTGCCACTTCCCCCTAGGGGGAGAGTGTGTATTGAGTACTGATTAGTGTTCTACTAGATCAGCTACAAATAACAACTTCCGGGGTCATCGAACCATTGCCGGATTTTGTCGTGACCCCAGGCTACGGTGAAGTATGGGGTCCAATTTTGGACTGCTCGGATATAATTGGGGACGACGCACCCCAATATACCGGTAGGTTCTTCTCCAGCGCCGAGAGGCCGGGGAGGGATAAGCACACAACTAGCGGAAGCCTTGCTTCGTAGGCTAAGCCTGGCTACGCAGATGCTAAGCTTGCTGACTTAAGCGAGGTAAGCTAAGCCAAAGCCAGGCATCACGTGCTTCGGCTTAGGCACTTACGCAAAGCTAGGTAAGCCGAAGATGTCGAACCTAGGAGGATTGACCTTAAGCTAAGTAAGCGAACTCGACAAAGTTAAGCTCAGCCAAGTCAAGTTCTAATATACGTTAATTAAAGAAGAAGTCACGAAGAAGTTAGAGAAGTAGCTTAACTGGCGTCAAGAGCTTCGATTCCTCCAGAATTCTGCTATATGGCTTTGTTGTGTAGTTTGTAAGCCTGTGGATTTTGGCGACCGATTGCCAGAGCGATAAAGTACCGCAAGGCGAGAGAGAGAGAGTGATGGAGAGAGAGAGAGGCAGAGACAGAACGCTGGGCACGCTTATCTCGCCGTTTTGGCTTTTGGACTTTTCTGTCTGTCCGTTTGCCCGTCTCTCTCTCTCTCTCTCTCTCTTCCAACCACTCGACCCCCATCCCCTCCCCCTTTTCCGTATGCTTTGCACCCATTCCCGTTGCTCCCCGATCCACGTGCGACACGCAGAACGGACACAATTTATGGCACATTTTTTTGTGTTTCACCTTTTTTCCATATTTTTGAAGGTAGATTACTTAATTAACGATACTATTCTCTATTCCGGCACCTATCCAATCCACTCTACTTGCTTTTCGCCATTTTGCAGGCCAAAATAGAGCCTCTGTCCGGCTAATCCGTCGCAGATCCGCGATTCCGGGAATTTGCGGTTGCTTTTTGGGCCGGGAGGCCATCCCCACGTACCAAATTCGTGCAATCTAAAAATATAGTGTTTTCTGTACTGGACTTACGGTATCGCCAGCAAGATGACTGGTTCGCTCGTTGGATTTTGATTTTTGGAGGCTGCTGGCACAGGGAAGGGGACGTACTTTCTGTTTCTCGCTCTCTCTCTCGCTCTGGTTTGTTACCTGATCACGCTAGGGTCTATTAGTGGAATGCCACCCTGCAAATAATACTTTCTGAACCCAGCTTTCCGGGAATTTCATGTCGTAACTGGTTTGGGTAGCTGATTGCTCATTCCAGTTTTGTATGCGATGCTTTCAGGGTATGTCCGAGTTTTCGGATAGCAGTCTGCCCTCGTTGAATAGCCCGGACGGTCGTGAAGATGACGAGGAGAGCGACGAGATGGACGAGGACGTTAAGAAGTGGGTGTTTTTAGTTTGTAGTCGTTGATTTTAGTAAGCTTGTAGTTTATTGTACTTACTGACACTCAATGGATCTATTTCTCGATTCAGGCTCACCCTGCTTCCCTCGACCTCCTCATCCTACCGTACCCTCAACCACGAGGAGAAGCCGAAGAAGCCGAGAAGCGAAGCTCCGGCCCTTTGTGCTATTTGTGGAGGACAAGCGAATGGATATCACTATGAAGCACCGTCTTGTAATAGCTGCAAGACATTCTTTCGAAGGTAGGCTTAGGCTGCTTAGGTTGCTTAGGCTTGGAATTAGGCCGGGTCTTGGGCTTGGCTTTGGATCGGCTTAGGCTTAGGCTTCGGTTTGGGCAGGCTTGACTTGGGCTTGGGTGTGGTTTTGGCTTGGTTTAGGCTTAGGCTTAGGCTCGGTCGTTGGCCTTGCTTAGGGGATTGGCTTAGGCTCACGCTGATTGTGCTCATATTAGGGTGATGCTCCGTGCCCGTCTCCCACAATGCAAAAAGATGAATGGCGGAGGGGATAGACGATGTCCAGATAAACAAAAGAATGGAAGGGCTGTGTGCAGGGGATGCAGATTTGTCAAGTGTTTGGAGGCGGGAATGGATTGTAGAGGTAAGTTACAGTTTGTTGCCTGCGATCTGGAGCTTTCCGTACTACACTCTTTCCGGTTACGGTATATAATTCGTTTTAAAGGTATCGAATATCGTCCTGGCGCTCCGGTTGATGATGAATTCATCGGAATTGTGTTGCGCATGCAATTCAAAGCGAGAGGCCAAGCGGATACAGCAGATGACCAAAAGCCGTCAACATCACAAGCCTTGGTTCCAGTTAACGTCGACATTAAGCCGGTGGGTGAAAGGGACGTGCAAGGCACGCAAGGCACACGCCCATCCTTACATGGCGTAATCGATTACGACATCTTCAAGCAGTTCAGCGCAGTGCAATCGATTACGCAACGAAAAGAGAGCTTCTGCTTAGGCTTAGACTTCGGCTTAGCTTCGTAATAATTCCGATACCCTTTCAGCCACTCTCCAATGAAAGTGACCACTTCCGGACATTGATCTTCTTGAAGTCGATGGAAATGGATATGAAGTGAGTTTTCGACCTAATGTTTCCTTTCTTGCTCTCTCCCTCTCTCTCCCTCTCTCTCTCTCGCTCTCTCCCTCTCTCTCTCTTTCTCTCTCTCTCTCTAACCCCTCTAACCCTTTCCTATCCATCCCAATTAATGCCTATTCCCATTCACTTTAAGTTTGAGGCTTCGTCTCGAAAGCCCTGAAGGCCTACTACCATGGCCGATGCAGAATGTGGCCACCTATATGGCCCATGGACTCCATTCACAACGAATACCGGTTAGTTTGTAATTTCGAGGCCCTAGACTACAGACTACACATTCCAGGCAACAGCTATTGACGCAAAGTATCACTACGTTGAGCGAAGATTCGGATGTGCGCACTTTTTGATAGAATATGAGAGAGCTCATGAGATTGCTAGGCAATTACCCTTCTACGATAAGCTTGGAACCATGGACAAGGTAAGTCGACTTCGTTTTGGCTTGGTTTAGGCTTTAAAAAGCTAGCCTAAGCCTAAGCCTCAGCAAAGTCTTTAAACGACTATAACTTTACGTAGGAATTAGCTATCGTAACGGTTTATACAACATTCGAAAGCGCGTGAAGCGGGCTTTAAACACTGCATTCAAAACGTAGTTATAAGGCTTGCTCCAGGTCCTGTGGTTTCGGTTCGCTGCCATGGCCTCATTTCTCTTCACCTCGGCATTTCGGTCGAAAAGCCGAGGGCTTCCGGCTGTGACGTTAAGAGATGGAAGCCTAGCTCCAATACTAGCCCACAAGTAAGTCAGCTTCGCTTTTAAAAGGCCATTGAAGCGAAAAAGTACATTACAAGTTACGGTATCCCCCTCTTTAGCCCCTGGGAATTGCATCGCCTAATTTTCTTCAAGCCAGTCGAATATTTGACCGATCAGGATGTAGATGACGATGAGTTTTTGATGCTTCGGGGAATTCTGCTATGCTCAACAGGTAGTTTAAGCTATATGTTTTGTTTTAAAGCGACAGTGACAGCAACTGGATGATCTTTACAGTAGCCCCACTGCCGCCGGAAGCACTGAAAGGGTTGGATGAGACGCGGGAGAAACTGGCACGAACGCTATTCGCCTACGAGACGACAAGGCATGGGATGCAGCGCGGGGCCAATAGGTCTGTTTTTGGTGTCCGAGCGCCTTTAAGAAGGGAAATAGAGGTCGTGATCGATTGCCGATTTTCAGATATCAACTCCTCCTCCATGTCGTCAACAATTTCGTCAAGCTGACCGGTCAGCATAAGGAATTATATCTGATGGGACGGCTTCGAGCCCTGGCTTCTCCCCCTCCGATATCGCTACTACCAGCTTATACTGATACCTTTGTCGTGGAGATTATGGGTGAATAAGTCGACTTAGGCTAGGCTTGGGCTAAGGTGTAAGCTAGGCTTAGGCTTGGTCTTTGGCTTGGGCGTGGGCTTAGGCCCTGTTTCCCCTTTTTTATTTTTGTTGCATTTATACAGTACCTCATAAAACACGGATCCCTATGCACCAAAAAAAGACAGATTCTATCCCATTACGCCATAAAAATAAGACCTCAGCTATCAAATTTTGTAGTTTGTATTTTCGAATTGTGATTCTTCTCGATTTAATTGATCTCAAATAGTTTTAATTCATATAAATAATTGATTATTGGTTAAACTAGCATACAAACTACAAAAAAAATCAGCGTCCCTAGCTTGACGAAGAATACAAACGACAAAACACGCAATTTTTGATCGTTTGCAAGAAAACAACGTAACCACAAGTCATAAACCCCTCGAAAACCCTCGCCAAAGTTCAGCACCGTCCTTCCCGGGCCCAGCAGCACCGGTTTCTTTAATTTTTCGAGGTTCTCCAAGGGGTTTGAGTAGCGAATTGGCCGTAGACCATGCATTTCGTTCTTTTTGGCCTGACCTTGAGGGGCTTGACGTGGTATTTCGGCGAACCCGCATCAAAGACGAGCAACTGGGGGGCGCTATATAAAGGAACGGCTAGCTGTGTCGTATAGAACGGAAATTAACTTTCATGCCCAGAGATTCGTTAAATTTTGGAATTTTAGCATATTTTTTGGATAGCTGAACGATTTACAACACAATAAATGTTTCAAACCTCGAAATTCACCTAAATTTTTGCATATAATGCTTTTTCCTGTTAATTATCATACCATATACCGTTTCAGGTAATGCAAAAACTTCTGCTTGCTACCGTAGCCCTCATCGGCTTGGCAACCTGCCAAATGGGCCCCTGGCAGGTGGATTCCACCAAGGAGGCCGAGGTGGAGGCAGATTTGTAAGTTTTCGAGCTTAAATTAGACCCTATTCGATTATGCAATGAAAATCACCTATTTTTAGTTCGAGCGCATGCTCAGCCAGCTTCCCCCGCAGCTCCAAGCTCAGGCTCAGGCCATCCACTCAAATCAGGTAAGCCTAAGCCTAAGCCTACGCTTAAGCATAAGTCCAAAAGCCAAAACGGCGAGATCAGCGAGTCGAGTCGAGCGTTTCTCTCTCTCTCACTCTCTCTCACTTTCTCTCGCTCTCGCTTTCCAGTACTTTATCGCTCAGGCAATGAATCGCCAAGTAATCCATGCGCTGATAAATTACACAACAATGCGAACGAGCAGAGGTTCTTGGGGACAAGAAGCTCTTCAGCCAGTTAAGCTACTTCTCTAACTTCTTTTAATTAGGACAATGACGTAATTATGACGTAAGTTCAGGCTTAGCCGGTTTAGCTCATGGCTTAAGTCAATAAGCTTAGCTTCGACTTCGACCCAAGCCTTTTCCGCTTGCTTACGCTTGGTAAGCTTAGCGTCCGCGTAGGCTTTGCATTAGCTTACGTAGCATAGCTTCAGCTATGCGTGCTTATCCCTCTCCGGCCTCTGGGCGCTGGAGAAGAACCTACCGGTATATTGGGGTGCGTCGTCCCCAATTATATCCGAGCAGTTGAAGTAACCCTAAAAATTGAAGCCTGCGCAGACGACGACGCAGCAAACTGTAATTATCATTTTTCAAAATTTCCAGGCGCTCTCCTTCGAACAAAAGCACGAACAAATGCACGCGCTGATCGAGACGCTGCCCGCGGACCAGGTACCGTACTCTACCGTACTCCTGGGGCCATTTTTTGAATTTTTCTGAAGTATTGTACTTTTTCCAGCGTCCCATGCCCCCATTCATGCGTAATTTGCCGCCCAGCGTACAGCAACAGATGAGGGAGCTGTGGTCGAACAAGGTCTTGTTTTCGGGCTTACCGTAACCCGGATTCAGGCCCTAACCTGGCAACAACGTCGCCAACAGATGCATCAGCTCTTCCAAAGCCTCCCAGAATCGATGCGGCCCCACTTTCCGCTTCCGCCGTTCGTCAATCAGCTGCCGGAGCCGTATAAGGTACCGTACCGTAGCGTAACGGAATTTGTAGCCTAACGTACTTTAACGTACAACGTACATTCGTACTTTTCAGAGCCAATGGATGGCCATCCACAACCAGCCTGGACCGGGACACTTCCAGAAAATCAGGGTAGGTCTTGGAGTTCTATCTACAGGCTACAGACTACAGGCTACAAAATATAGCTATAACCTCGTTTTAGAACCTGATCGCGACGATGCCCGATTCCGTAAAAGCCCAGCTTCCGATGCAGGGCAGATGGGGCATGATGGGAAAGGGCAGAATGTGGGGACAACAGCAGCAGCAATCCCAGGGGCAGTTCCGCTTCTGAATACCCTTAATACGAATGCTTTAATGTATTTACAAACATAAATATGGTATCTGGACTACATAATACGAAAGACAGCTGTTGACGTCGAAATTACAGCCTGCAGACTACAAAATACACTTCTGGACGTCGAACTTCAGACTACAAATGACGGCAAGCGTCACAAATTAATGAAGGCTACAAAGTACACCTTTTGACGTTGAAACTACAGACTACAAACCACAAAAGAATGATTTATTGCTTTCACGACTAAATACAACGCAAACTGAAGACTAGAAAGTGGCAGCGGAATGGGAGAGCCGAAATGAGATCATTGGAGACGATAGAGCGGGCGAACGAGAGAGACGCAGAGAAATGGAGACATAGAGAGAAGCTTGGCCCTGAGACGGGTTGAATACAGTAGGAATTGGGTGGCAGAACGGGGGATATAAGGAGCTTGAGCTTGGGCTTAGGCTTAGACTTAGGCATAGCTTAGGCTTAGCTTGACTTATGCCTTATCGGAGGGGGAGGGGGTTTATTAGAAACTTTTTAAGGGCATCGGCAGGTTGCCAGCATGCTAGAATACGAGAATTCCACGTTTTAAAGGTATTGGTCAGCTTGGGATACTTTGAAAATCAGATACCCAATAATTTTCAGACTTTTCTAAGCTCTTGTGGCTGGATGGCGCGGAGAATCTTCTTCTCCTCTTCGCTCAGCTCATCCAGAGGGCCAGGGGTCGGAAAATCCACTGGCTTGGTGGGCTTCGTAAGTGATTTAGGGTGTACGGTAGTTGGCTTGGGCTTAGGCCTTGGAGTCGTCGGCTTGCGCGTTGCTTTTGGTCGTGGTCGTTGGGTGGTAGAAGGGCGAGGGGTGTCTCTGGAAGTACTATTATTAAAAAAACAACTTAAAAATACTACAGTAGTACTACAGTATTCCATAGCACTATAAACTACAGTACGACAAACAACCCGGGAGTACCGTAGGACTGGTGCATTAACAGTGGGAGGAAAAATCGAGTGCCTGGGTACAGACTACAACAGGATTGTACAAACCTGAGGCGTTGCTGTAGGCTAGACCCTGCAGAAAAATGACATTTTAGAGGTTTTAAAGCCACTGGCAAGTAAATTAGACCAGGCAGGCTAGCAGAGCTTTTTGAGGAAAGCGTTTTAAGCTTGAAAATTGCCGTTGCAGCTATTTTCAAAACTTAATCGCTCTCTCCTGACTTGCCCATTTTCCGCAGCACTTCTTTTCACATACCTCCGCCTTGCTGTAGTTGGGCGTGGTGTAATAGTAGTCGACGGGATGGAGGGTACCTTCATCGTGGTCCTCCTCGGCACCGGAGGGGCTTCAACGATGATCCGGCCGAGGATTGGCCTCACCGGCCACCCTTTTTGGCTGTCCACCTGGAAATAGGGGGCTTATAACGTTTTAATGCTACTTTTTCACTTAACATTTTGCGTGCCTTTTACTGGGCGTTCGAATGGTGTATAAATATTTACGTTAGGATATTGCTAGACAAAGCTATGGCGTTTTTTCAGTATTCCACTCCGACCGCCAACGATTCGCCCACCCTCTGGCCCACTACCACGTCTCCAACCTCAAACTTGGGTAATTAAACCGACCTGCCCCTCTGCGACTCGCCCCCACCTGGCCCACTGTCAGGGCATATCCCTCCCCCCATCGGTGGCCAATTTGTGGGGTCGGAGACGTCCGTTCCCCTCCCATTGCCACTTCCCCTAGGGGAGAGTGTGTATTGAGTACTGATTAGTGTTCTACTAGATCAGCTACAAATAACAACTTCCGGGGTCATCGAACCATTGCCGGATTTTGTCGTGACCCCAGGCTACGGTGAAGTATGGGGTCCAATTTTGGACTGCTCGGATATAATTGGGGACGACGCACCCCAATATACCGGTAGGTTCTTCTCCAGCGCCCAATGGCCGGAGAGGGATAAGCACACATAGCTGGGAAGCTATGCTTCCGAAGGTAAGCTAAGGCCAAGTCTATGACGAAGCTAGGCTTGCCGACTTAAGCAAAGGACGCTAAATCTACGACGACGATGGTTACTGACTTCAGTGCGGCAAGCTAAGAAAGCGAAGCCTGAAGCTGAACTGGTTTCGTAAGCTTTAATTCCTTAAGTAGCTCTGCTAGATAGCTCTGATGTGGAGTTTGTAACTCGATGGGTTAATTGCTGAGCTAGAAAGTAGGAGGGAGAGAGAGAGAGAGAGAGAGAGAGCGAGAGAGATAGGGACTATACCTTTTTAATAGCATCCAATTTCCTTGATATATCCTCATAGAACTTGTCAATATACGTAATCCTGAATTCCAGGGCCGTCTCCTCGTAGTAGATCTCGTCCATTGCTTTTCTAAAATATGGCGGGTGTCAGGGGTTTCGTAGCGTACTTTAGATTTGCTAATAAGGTATCCAGTGAGGCCAGAATTTTGGAGTATGTAGTTGCGAGGACGTCAACCTGAAAAAATTAATTTAGAAGATTTCCGCAAAGATTTCTGCTAGCCCGCCTTCCAGAATTTGAAAATTTTGGCGAGAATTCCTTTAAAAGCTAAGAAAACTTACATAATAGGGATTAGAATGCCCGGTGACTTGTTGTGCCATCCTCAGCCATCCTCTCTCTCGGTTCTGGATCCACGTTGCGTTCTCATAGTACACGACGAGACGCTCGAACGCTCGAATCTCTTCGCGGACACGGTAGCCTGAAATTTAGAAGTCTTAGATGTCACTGTCCCTTTAAAGTTCTAGCTGTCGTTGTCCCTTTAAATTAAGCATAAACTTACCGGGATAGTGGCATTTATCCTGATTCTTCGTCACGTCATCTAGCGTCGTCCCCTGCGGGCATTTTAACGTTTTCATGATGTGCATTGCCGCTCGTTCTAAAGAGTTACGGTATTTAAATCCTCTAAAAAGCTTCATTTCTAACCGATTACGCTATTTAAATAGTTTAAAAGTCTATTTATGACCAATTACCTCATTTAAATAACTCGACAATTTTAGCACTAACCGGTTACGACATAATTTGTGATAATCTGCAAATTCACAGCCAACGACATCATAGAGGTCGGCATCGTCTCGCAGAGAACAGCGAAGTGATCGTATCTAAATTCTTCGAGGTTACGGTAGACTACATTTGCGGACAGGCTAGCAGAAACGCTTGCGGAATACCGTACCTCGACCACCCAGTCAAAATCATGCCTCGAAAAGTGGAGAACTGCTCGCTGTGCTTCATTGTTTGGACGAACCTGCAGAAAATTGGCTTTAAAACGAAGCTAAGTAAGCTAAGCCTAAGCCAAGCCTAAGCCAGCCAAGCCAACCCACCATTCCTGATTATTCTTCAAATACGGCTTCATCGCATTATCCATCTTATCGGCTCCGTTCGCTCCTTTGTACGCACTCGCCCCCCATACATTCGGGAATACCGTCGACAAATTCCGCCACATTCCGGCGGGTAGGTACTGTAATTACAGTAACCTACGTAAGTACGTATGTAAGGAGTAACCTACGTAGTCCAAATTATCAGTGTACTTCCAGACGACCGGTTCGATCAGCCCGTCCAGGCCGAACTCCTTGAGCATCGACGGGTCGGCCGTTTTGAACTCGTCGAACCAGGCGAGCACCTTACAGGAATACGGTATTTTCCACCAAGACTCTCTGCTAGCTACCCAGCTGATTAGGGGTGTGGCTACCCTTTTTAAAGTACGCTTCCATACCTTTACACTGGGGTGTACTGTAGTAACAATTTCTGCCACAGTCTTCATATGATCAAACACCAGCCGTTTCGTGTCGTTACGGTATCGAGACGTATTTAGGAGCGCCACGTCCTGCGGGCATTCGCCCATCTGAAAATTTGGAGTTTACGGGTGTTCTCTGAGTGTTACGGTCGCATTAAAAGTTTTCTACTTGGTTTTCTATGCAGCCTGTCTTCAGTTTTAGAGCTTCGCCTAGCTTCCAAATCAAATTAGCTAGCTTAGAAAACTTCAAAAACTGCAAAAAGTACCTGATAAGCCTCATCAGCCCCGATATGGAAGAACCTCATCCCGTACTTGGCGTGTATCTTCGCGACCTGCTGCACGCTGTCCTTGATGAGTTGCCTCGCCCGAGAATCTCCGATGCAGAACACCTAAAAATACCTATTTTCCGCGACTTGACACGCTACGCAACGCCCACACTGACGAGGCGGAAAACCCATAGGTTTTGCCTTCGACGGCCCTTTAAAATCAACATACCATCGGAAATTGCGGATCCTCTCGAATCTGGACATTCTCCTCGGCTTTTAGTATCCATTCAGCGTGGCCTAGGGTCTGAACGAGGGGGACAACTTGGAGGCCGAGCTGTTGAGCACTGAAAATAGATCGTGTAATCGATCACGACGTGTAATTGAACGTACTGTGATAAGACATCATCGACCTCGGCGAGAGAATAAGCGTATCCATTGATGTAGTTGGAGAGGGAACCCTGCAAGAGAGGAGGGTAGGCTAGCAGAGACGTTTTGGGGAATTTAAAGACCGAGCAAGCTAGCAGAGTCCCTTGGGGAAGAAATCAAGGCAGGCTAGCAGAGATCTTTTAGGAACCAGTGACAGGCTATAAAGACGAGGAAGGAGCGTTCGCGAGCCAGAATAACAAGGCAAGCTAGCAGAGATTCTTGAGGAAAGAAGGAAAATCTAGGCAAGCTAGCGAAAACTCATTAGGAAAAGGGCAAATCTGAGGCGAGCGAGCAGAAACCCTTTAGGAAACACCCACCGTATACGGAAACATGTCCTCCCACTCCAAAACGATCCCCGTAGCTCCTAGCTGCTCGAAAATCGTCAATAGTTGCTTCAGGTAGCCTGGCCGGGGTGCGGAGCCTAAAAATGCCATTTGTAGTTTGTAGTCTCGCGAATTTTGATACCTTTCATGTCAATATGGACGAGGGTTTGTTCGAGGTTGGCGAATGGCTGCAAATTCGTGTTTTCATTGTTTAAAAAAAGCGTTTTAAAGCCCCAATTAAATTTTTACAACTCTAAAAGTCGGAGCATGACTTTTAAATTGTTTTTCAATAATTTCTACGGCAAAATAAATCGAAAACTGACGTTTTCAAGCGTTTTAATGGTTTCTAAAGCTAAAAATACATTGTTAAGAGCTCAAAAATCAATGAAAATGTTCAAACCTGTCCAAAAGCCATTCCGCTGAAAAATATGCATATCAACCCGAGCCACCGCATCCTAGAAACCTGAAAAAATGACACAAAAAATTATTATAATGATTTTAAAGGATCAGTGAAGTTGAAAAATTGGCTTAAGCTTAGGTTTAGACCTAGGCAAGCTGCCAGATATTTTTGTGATTCCTTTTATACCTATTGGCAAAAGGGCCGTGTCAAAGGGTGGCTTTTCAAGTTTTTTTTTCGCACGTCTTTTTGCAGAAAAGAACGCGCGACAAACATCATGAAATGTGACGGGCGAAAAGAGGCGCTTCATCGCAGCAACTGAATAGAAGGAAAATATGGGAACGGGACTGTCTGCAATTCACAATAGAATGGCAAAGAGCAAAAAGCAGGGCGAGAATAAGACTAAGCCTAAGTCTAGCAAAGATTCTTTGAGAAAACGAAGGGGTTCTTGTCCTTTAAAAACGAAAAATGACTTCAAAGTTCCCCGCCAAAACAAAGAAAACGAATCAGACAAAGCACGTCTTATCGAGCAGATGCTAATTCCCCCTTTTAGCCCTTATCAATTCCGCATTGTTCCAAATGACACGCGTGCCCCGGGTGTTAAAATATTGGATTCTGCCAAAATTCCGGGAAAGTACAGCTGACACCCCTGAAAAACGATGCGTAATCTGGAACGTTGCGGAATTCCGGAAAGCTTGAGTCAAATTCCAGGAATCGCGTGTCGGAAAATAACCCCCAAAGCCTGGTCGTATCAAAAATCAGCCGCCCCCCTCAGCGGCCACATCGTTTATTTAGTAGCGTAGCGGAAAAGAAGGGCGAAAAGGCCGAAAAACAACTTCCTGGGTCCTTTAGTTGAGTCTCTGTCTCTCTCTCGCTCGCTCTCTCTCTCTCTCTCTATCTCGTCCGGTCAGGCTCAAAAACAGAGCTCCATGTGGCTGGCTGGCCTGCCCGGGGCGCGTTGACCGATCATTGGTCAAAATGACCGCCAGGGGAGTGAAAAAATTGGCCCAATTTTTGTGGTTGATCGCTCAGGGCTACAGACTACAAATTGATCGAGGAGATTTTTGAGAAAAAAATAGACTTTAGGCATTTTTTGGAGGTGACGTCAGGGATTTCAGGGGATTTTCAAGCGTCAAAAATTCCAGAAACAAAATAAAATCCTTAAAAATTCATTTTCCGATAAATCCCGGCCCGAAAACACGAAAACATATTTAAATTGTTGGTGAGGGCTGAAGGAGGGGATCTGCGGGAAACCCCAAGGTCACCCTATTCATGCCGATTCACGATTCAGGGGCCCGGAATGCAAAAACAGGTAACGCGCTTTGTATTTCTTTAAATCTATCGTCTTCTTAGCTATAAAAAGGGCATTTTAAGCTTTAGGGATGCCTAAGCTAAGCCTAAGCCTATGCTAAACCTAAACCTAAGCCTAAACTAAGCCTAAGCCCAAGCCTAGGCCTAAAGGCATTTTCTAGAGATTTCAATTCTAAACTATACAAAAAAATAAAGTGTACGATCCCACCAAGAAAAGTACAGCCCTTAAAAGTATACCCAACATCTGGAACCGATTTTTCTAGGCCATTTGACCACCCAAATATTTTGGCCCCACCCCTATTGCCTATAACTGACCGAAAAGCAATGAATGACCCCCCTCGGAAAGGTACAAAAACCGACAAGCGGAAAGATGCGGAAATTTATGGCCCCCGCCCAGCGCCACCAGACTGGTCAAAAATCTCGCGACGGTGTTTTGGCTGGAAATCCTGGGCTTTAGCGGCCCTTTAGGGGAAGTTAAACTTGTTTTTGAGCTCTAGGCCTTTCCAAAAGGATCTCTGCTAGTATGCCAGGCAAAAAGCCTGTCGCGGAAAGCCAAGAAATAAAAAGAAAATGGTGGATTGACGCGACCTTGGCCAGTCTGTTCGCCACCACCACAGCAATATCCGTCTCAATTTGTGGCCCGGCGCGCTGACACGCTGTGCTGACAGGACCCTGGAAATACGAGCGCGCGAAATTGAGGGCAATGGCCTTTAAGCGGGGGAAGAATACTGTAGAAGGGACAAAAATAAGGTGAAAAATGATACATTAGAAAAAGCGTTTAGCAAGTGAAAAACTAGCCATTTACGGGATGGGGATTCTTAAAAAATCTCTGCTAGCTCGCCAGGCTTTCAAAAGTGTTTTCAAAGTCCAAAACTACCCATTTTTCACAATGCGGATCCTCAAAAACCTCTGCTAGCCTGCCCTTACTCGAAAATCCGTGCTCAATCCCGGGTAAAGTGCACCGAGATCTCATTTTCACTGGCTATCAGCCCACCGAAAAAAGGGGGAAAAGGTTGGTGAAGCCTATAAGATGACCTTGACGCGCCCAGATCATCGCCAGCATTTTTTTTGCGAGGCCGGAAATATGAGAGGAAATCCTGGAAATATCATATTTCTGTTGGGAAAACAAGATTGTGGAAAGTTAGAGAACCTAAGCCTAAGCCTAAGCCAAGCCCAATCCTAAGCCTAAGACTAAGTGTAAGTTAAGCCTGAGCCTAAGCCTAAGCTTATAAACACTAATATTTACTACTTACACGATAATTGGCAGCCAGACACCCAAAAATAAAAGAAAAAGAACGCCCCTCTCGGCGAGACGTTCAAAATATTTTCAGGTTTTTCAAGAAAAGTGATGGCAACGGCATGGTCGGGGAACACAAACAATTTTAATCGCGTTTAATGGCGAGCGAAATTGGCGTTTTCTTTGTGGATTAACTAAATAAAGCATATTCTTTACAACTAAAACATTTTTAGAAAAATTTAATGCCGAAAATTGGTTGTAAAAGCGGTTTAAAACCGCGCACCCAGACAAAATTTTCCAATTTCCCGGAAAAACGGGCTCAAACCAAGTTTTTAACTTTCACTTGTAAACTTTTTTAAACTAAATAAAACAATTTTACATCCACTGAAACATTTCTAGAAGAATTCAACGCTGAAAACTGAAAAATTTCCCAATTTCCCGGAAAAACGACCTCAAACTGAACGGTTCGTTCCCGGCGGTTTAAACTAATTCGATTAGCCGGCTTCCTGGAGCCCCGGAAAAACTGAAACGAACACATCTCCGGTGGGTTCAGGACTAGGTTCGTAAAAAAGAGCTGAGCCCAGGGAGAAGCCCCGATTTTTGGCGGTCAACCTCCCTGGGAGAATTGGGACAGCAAATGGGATTGCGGGGGAGTGAGAGAGTGAGTTTGCTGAATTGAGGAGGTGCAGCTCTATTTTGAGATATTTGGGAGGCAAAACGAGATTTCAGGATGGAAATGAGGATCAGTTAGAGTTAGAAAAGTCAGATTGATTGCAAATCGAGTGCGAGCGTGTAAAAACGCTAAATATCATTAAAATAGCTGAAATACGGTCAATTTTGGTCAGTTGAGTGTTGAGCCAAGCCTAAGCCTAAGCCAAGCGTAAGCCTGAGCCGAGCCTAAGCCCATGTCTATGCCTATGCCTAAGAAAAGCTCACGAATCCCTAACCTAACCTCAAACTTGGGTAATTAAACCGACTTTTCCGCCTCCGCGACTCGCCCCCCACCTGGCCCACTGTCAGGGCATATCCCTCCCCCCCATCCATGGCCAATTTGTGGGGTCGGAGACGTCCGTTCCCCTCCCATTGCCACTTCCCCCTAGGGGGAGAGTGTGTATTGAGTACTGATTAGTGTTCTACTAGATCAGCTACAAATAACAACTTCCGGGGTCATCGAACCATTGCCGGATTTTGTCGTGACCCCAGGCTACGGTGAAGTATGGGGTCCAATTTTGGACTGCTCGGATATAATTGGGGACGACGCACCCCAATATACCGGTAGGTTCTTCTCCAGCGCCGAGAGGCCGGAGAGGGATAAGCACACATAGCTGGGAAGCTATGCTTCAGAAGCTAGCGGCGCTGAAGCCAAGTCGGCGGAGCTCATGCTAGTTAGGAGGCTGAAGCTAACAAGGAGACGTTTTTAGGTGGGCACGGAGTTTCGTAACGAGACCTAGCTCATTCTGAGCTGAGCAAGGTCCCGTTTTCCATTTCTGCGAAACAATAGCGATAGATTTTTAATAATTAAATTAAAGAATTAGCAGAAATTGGCATGATTCCCTTCGCGCGGAGCGATTTCCTTCCAAAGATCCCCTCTGTCGGAAAGCCAGGCCCCGTCTCCCCGTCCCCATAGCGATTTGGCGCAGTCGGTACGGCGTTTGCCTCTCACGAAATTTTTTTGGACTTTTTGTCAGTTCGACCCCTGAGCCCAGAATTCGTTTTGCTTTTTATTTTAGGAGGCTGAATTTCTTATTTATTGTAATTTAATTATCGCAATGCGTTATATAAATGTTCTGAACAGCATCGGTGTAGGCGCAAGCGGGCCATTTGATTTCAATCGCTGAGACTCGAGTGCAACGCTACCGGTTTGGGGATACCACAAAAAAAATAATTTTGGACTAGATTCCACGTTTAGAAAGTGTTCAGGAATTAAAAAGCAAAACGAATTCCGGGCTCAGGGGTCGAACTGACAAAAAGTCCAAAAAAATTTCGTGAGAGGCAAACGCCGTACCGATTGCGCCAAATCGCTATGGGGAAGGGAAGACGGGGCCTGGCTTTCGGACAGAGGGGATCTTTGGAAGGAAATCGCTCCGCGCGAGGGGAATCATGCCAATTTCTGCTAATTCTTTAATTTAATTATTAAAAATCAATCGCTATTGTTTCGCAGAAATGGAAAACGGGACCTTGCTCAGTTTTTCAAGCTCTTTCGAATGAGCTAGGTCTCGTTACGAAACTCCGTGCCCACCTAAAAACGTCTCCTTGTAAGTCGGCGAAGCAGAAGCTAGTTAGGCTGAAACACAGTCGGCTAATGCTGTAACGAAGCTAAGCCTGGACTTAAACCGAAGCTAAGCCAACTTCCAGCCTGAACCAAGTTCGAACTTCGAGGCACAACTCTTTTTTCTAATCCAAGCCGACGCCGCTCCTATGAACACGTACCTAACCGCAAACTTGGGTAACTAAACCAGCCAGAACAGTGTTCTTTGAGGGTTCCCTGCTCGCCACCTCACTCGCCCCCCATCTGGCCCACTGTCTGGACAGATAGACCGGCCATTTTCTCGGCAAGTCGGGTGGCTTTCTTGCCGCCCCTATGCCCTCAGGGCACACTCTAGTGAACCAATCGATGATTCGGTTGTGATCAATGAGTGCAAATAAAGAGATTAGAGCTTCATCTTTGAAGCTCCATCTCATTATTCCATGCAAGTTTGGGCAAGTGGACTTCGGTCTGTCTACCCTTGCTTGGCTTGAAAGCAGGCTTGGTCTGCCTAAGCTAGGCGAAGCTCTGCCCGGCTGGCCTAGCTTCCGCTTTCCCGAGTGGAAGCTCTCATTCTTATATCGCTTTAGCATAAGTTAGGCAGCTTTGCTTTTCGGCAGCCAATTTTTGACTATAACTTCGGAGGTTCATTAGAAACTCTATTATTAGAATCTAGGAATCAGTTTTATTGGCTATTTGAGTTCAGTCTCCTTTGTACGCTCGCTGATCACCACCGGCTCGCCACCCGTCTGAACCACTACAAAAGTATAAGCTCGGCAAAAACTAGGGATGGTGGTCGGGGAGGACGGTGGACTTACTATCCATCACGTACCTTGGAATTCATTATGATATTTACTACAAAAAAAGAGATTGTATTCTCTACAAAAACTACGATCTATTGATATGGATAGTAATAAAATTAGTAAGCCTCGTCTTTTAATTTTTGAGTTCTCAACTTTTAAATCTAAGAAACACTGGAAATGAAGAGCTAATAAGCTGACTTAAAGTTAAGCTTCAAGGCTTCATAGATTCGGCTCTAACATTTTAGAGCTTAGCCGGGCAAGGGTCCGCCCAGAGACACGGCTCCGAGCCACCCAAAAATTCACCAAACCGCCGACCCTTATGCCCTGACAGTGGGCCAGACGGTGGGCTAGTGGGGCTGGTGCGACTAGCCCCCCGTCTGGCCCACTGTCAGGCCATAAGGGTCGGCCACTCGGCTAGGTTTTTGGGTGGCTTGGGGCGTGTCCCTGGGTGTACCCTTGCCGGGCTAAGCTCTAATATTCTTAGAGCCGAAGCCCGTGCTAATTGAAGCCATGACGCTATGGAATTTGAAGTCAGCTTCGGCTTTCAATTCCATAGTTTTTATATTTCAAAGTTAATAACTTTGAAATTAAAAGACGAGGCTTGTACAGTAAGCTTTGTTTTTGGCTTACTTAATTTTATGAATGCGATCTTTTTAATAGATTGATTGATAGAGAATTTCTCAATCGAATTTCTATAAAAATTCATTTCAAGGTACGTGAAATTGAAGTTTAGTAAGTCCACCTTCCTCCCCGACCACCATCCCTAGGTTTTTCCAGGCTTATACTTTTGTAGTGGGCCAGACCGTGGCTAGTCGGTAGCGAGCAGAGAACACTGATTGATAGAGAATTTCTCAATCGAATTTCTATAAAAATTCATTTCAAGGTACGTGAAATTGAAGTTTAGTAAGTCCACCTTCCTCCCCGACCACCATCCCTAGGTTTTTCCAGGCTTATACTTTTGTAGTGGGCCAGACCGTGGCTAGTCGGTAGCGAGCAGAGAACACTCAAGGTACAAACTACAACCCCGAAGAAAATCCGGAATTTACAGTCATTTTTCAAGCGGAAAATTCAGTGTTGTGCATTCCAGCATGTCTCGTAGCCTTAAGTTATAATTTATCCTCTCAAAAACATTGTAAAATCGGGACGACAACGATCTCCAAATCGATAAATGGACAAATCATTTGGGATAACAAGACGAATAAATAAAACAACCAAAAAAGGAAAGGATAAAAATGGCTGTTATTTTTTATTCTTCGAAGATGGCCCGTAGACTGGACTCGTTGCAGCAGCTGTAGACGATCATTCCTTCTTGAAGTGGGCACTGAAAATGGAAAAATTAGCGAGGGCAGGCTAGCAGAGAGAATTTAGGAAGAAGTTTGTAGAAGAGCTAGCAGGTTCTTAGAGTTTAGGGCGCTTTAGATCAAGAAAACTCGCAAAATTTAGCATAAAATGTTGGAAAATGTAGGCTAAGCAGATACAATTGAGGTCTGGGCGGGCTAGCAGAAACCCTTTAGGAAGGAGATTTAGGGACGGGTAAGCGAGCAGAGATTCTTAGAGTTGAAATTCCTAAGTTTACGACTCTAGAAAACCTAGAAAATACAGGGCAGGCTAGCAGAGATCATTAGCATCAAGAAGTCAGGCGAGGCAAGTTAGCAAAGACCCTTTAGGAAAATGCAGGACTCTAGAAAATTAGCAAAAACCACTTGAGGCAGGCTAGCAGAGATCATTAGCGCTTAGGAAAATTTAAGAAAACCTAGGAAGGCTAGCAAAGACCATTTAGGAAGGAAAAGCAGGGCAATCTAGCAGAGATCATTGGGAACGAGGTCAGCTAGCAGGGACAATTTACGGAAATAAATCCGGCGAGCAAAAATAGGCCAAAAACGCGCAGAACGAACGAAATTAGGCCCAGGGCAAGCTAGCAGAGACCCTTTAGGAAAGTACCAAAAGGCAGTCTAGCCGAGATTCTTTGGAAATCCGATCAAAACTAAAAACCCACTGATTGACATTGCCGGAAAGGACGAGATAGGGCGTCTGGAGTTGTTCCTGCTTCTTCCTCTGGCGGGCCAATGTTCCGAGGAGTATCCGAACTGCTGCAAATACATTGCGTAATTGAATACATGCATTAATATACGGTACCTTTGATAGTTCTTGAGCAGCTCCTTCTGATCGATTTGTCGAGCACGCTTCTCCTGCGCTTCTTGCCCGGCATTTTGCCGTGGAATCTGGAAAGGAATCAGTACAAATAATCGATTACGATATAGCAAACGTTAATAACGATAATCCTAATCAATTGCGTCGCTAAAATTAAATTAAATAGCTACAAAAGTATCCGAATCGATTAAGTCATGAAAAATGGCTATATAAAACTTTCTAAATGGACTACGGCATGAAAAAGCTAGTGAAACTTTTCCTAAATTGATAACAGCGGCATAAAGCTAAGTATAAAAAACCTTTGCATAATTACGACGTGAAAATAAGTAAAAAAACCGTTCTAGTTAATTACATCCTCAAGAACGAGCTAAAAATTATTATGATTTTTACAAAACTCGAAAATTCTTGCAAACAATTGCGTCATTAAAAGAAAGCCATAGAAATTTAATATAACCGATCACCGCATAAAAATCAGCTAGAAAAACGTTTTCTAGATTAGTTACTGCATTTAAACCCATTAAAAAAAATTCCAAAACGGTTACGATATAAATTTAACGATTCAAACGCCCTAAACTATTTACGAAATGAAAATCCGTCTCAATAAATTTAGTTTAATCGATTACGACATGAAAATCAACCCAAAAATTTTTTGTCTAATCAATTAAGCTATCATAAGCTACAAATATAACCTTCAAACACTCACTTCCACGAGAGCTGCCGGAAGGCGTCCTTCGACTCGAGCTCTCTGCCCTTATTATCGACATAGCTGATGTCGACTTCTGGCTTATATCCTTTCTTTTCGCAGAATTCCATCGTCAGTCCCCTTCCGGTGGTGCCCATCTTTTTCCAGCTTCTTCGTG